TATTAGCATACTAATTCAATATTATTATTTTTTACTAAATAACGAGTTTTTCTTATTGACATATTCTACAAAAAAGAATAATTTAAAGAAAAAAAACCCACAAAAGCGAGGACTTTTAAGTTTTAATTAAAAAATTAGAATTTGTTTTTTCATTCTTGAAAATAAAATGACTCTGGAATGTTTATTTGTTGCTCAACATTTTTAACTGATTTGATTAGAAACGTTTTAAATCAATGTTTTACATATTTATTTTTTTGGTTTTTCAATGTGCTTGGCTTTTACACATGAACTATATTATTTATAATATTTTTTATAACTTTTCGATAATTTATTCATTTTATCTCTTTACATTTACATTACTTTATTTTGCACCTCTCTGTTTCCATGTCTGTCTTTTTTCTCTATCTTTCTGATAATTAAAAAAAAGTACAAAATTATTTATAAAAATAGTTTCTCTGTTAAATGCACATGGATGCCAGAGAGTGGTGATGGTCGTAGAGAGTAAAGACCAATTACAGAGGAATACAAAATATTCGTACAGTGTCGGCGCATATTGTTGAGAAGTTTTCTGTTTCACACTTTCACTAATTCATTGAAATGATAAAAATGGCATTATCGTTGGAGGTGAATACTCTAACGAGTAATTGAACAATACTCGGGTATGAGTTTGTTGAGATATTAGTGTAATTTTGTTTCTATTTTCAATGTAAAATTTTTATCTGTTTAACCACTGAATTTTCCAATGTTGCAACACGTTTATGGGATCTAGCATTCTTATTTCTTGTTAGCATTACCAAATGCTAGTTTAGAATTGTGGAATTCAGTGTCTCGTTACGGGGTTTGAAGAGGATTAGTTACACACTTATGACCACTTCTCCCTCAACCCAATAAAATTTGTAGCTGCTTAATATTATAGTCTAAAGTAAACAATAATAACAAACTCTGACAAGTTAGCTGATTGGAATATAGTTTTTATAAACTTTTAACTCCGAACGGCTTTGATGTTAAAATTACCAAATATAATTATTTTTAAAGATTAAAAAAATCAATAGAAGTACCGCCAAAATAAAATAAGAATTAAATGATTTTTTAGTTTATATATTTATTTGTAATTTTATTTTATAAGTAAAAAATATCATTTTTATATAAAAATTTCTTCTTAATTTTGTTATTATTCTTACAATATACTATAATAAAGTTAGTTTTTTTTTTTATGTGAAATGGTCATCTAATTATCTAATGTGTCAAATTTAAATCGTATTTTAGTCTCTATATAAAACATTTTCTTTGTAAGTTAGTTCGTAAAAAATTTATCTATAAATTTTTATCAAAATTTATTTATAATTTTGTCTATATATTATTATGATAACAATTCAAATTATATTTTCTAATTATTTGTTAGAAAGTATTTCTATATTATTTAAATATGTTTTATATTTTATTTTATATATTTTTATGTTTAATTTTATATCTTGATTTGTTTTTATATAAATATCACTTTTAATATTTTTATTTTTTCTATCACTTAATATTTTCACAACACACATAATAATAAAAATACATTTTTAATAAAATTAGTATTTTTAAGAGAAACAAATTATTTAAAATATTTTTATAGAAAATTAAAATCAACAAAAAAGAGTTGGAGAGCAAAATAACAACTTAGCTTTTTGTTAGAGAAAAAAAAAAACTAATTTTACCATTAATAAATTATTCTATTTTATATAAAAAATAAATTAAAATGAACTAGATTAGTTTATCTTATCCGCATTGTACCCACCAAAGGAATCCTAAACTGCGATGAATTGAGATCCGAAGACAAGTCTTCTCGTACAACGCAACTGACCATGGAGGAACCAAAAACAAACAACAATAATAATGAACAGATCCACAACTGCGAGGAACAGACAAAATGCAATAAATAACGTTGTTTGACATGCAATATTATAACCATGTTATGTTATTATTTAAAGCCAGGATACGTTGAAATTAGGTGTGAAATTTTAATATTTATATTATTTAATAATTTTGTATAAAATATAAAATTAATAAATTTAATTATTATTTTTTATCATTATATATATTAAATTTATATAATTTAAATATATATTATTTAAATTTTAATATTTATTATCATTTTAAAAATATATTATCTGTTAACAAAGTAATATAATGAAGTGTTTATTAATTTTATTTTTAATAAATTTTATAAAAAATTACTTAATAAAAATATGTTAAATTAAATAATTTTGTATTTTATGATTATCCAACGGATAAATTAGGTGAAGCATTATAGTGATGTGAAGCATCTCTAAAGACAGTGGTGTTAATCTTTAGTTAAAATTTAAATTTTATTTTCATGATTTATATGATAAATAATAATAACGTTAAAAATTATACACTAATATTATAAGTTAATATATATTATTAAAATAATTTTTTAGTTTTAATTATAAAATAACACCAACAATACTTATAAGATTATATTTAAGTTCTTTTTTTATTACAAATGGTAATTGATAAAGGTTAAAGGACTTATTTTAATGGATTATTTATTTATTTTAAAAAATAATATATAAAAATATTTAAAAATGAATGATATCTTTAATTTATTTTTTAACATATATTTATAAAAATTTGAATAAATATTATTAAATATAAATTATTAAAATGCGAATTATTTTCAAAATAAAATACTAAATTGAACTAGTTTTATATTTTTATACAATAAATGTTTTAATAAAAAATTTATTATTTTTTCTCAAAATATTTGATAAACAGATTATAATTATATTTTATTCAAATACCATTAAATATAAATTATTAAATAATTTTAATGTTAAAATGTTAAGAATATAATGTTCTTTATAATAAAATATTTTAATATATTTTATTTTAATGAACATACACTCACACGGGATAGATCTTTTGATAATAATATTTAGTTTTAACTATATTTTTAATTCATCTAATTTTTTTTTATGTAATTTTGATCTCTTAAAAATTTAATCAAACAAATATTAAGTCTTTATAATTCTAATATTCTATTGGTAAAAGAAATGTTCTTTTGTTATCATCCTTTTAACTAAAATCTTATTTCTTTATACAACTTAATCTGGTGTTAAAATCTTATCATGGAAAAGAAGCTTGACTATTCAAACTCATCTTGACTATAACACATTTTATATTTATAATTAACGTGTTAAGTGTAGAAAATAATAAACTTATTCTTAGGACTATTGACGCCTGTGTAAAGTTATCTTCCCTTAACCTTCACTTTCATTTGATTTTTTCATGAATACCACCCTTTATGATGACTAGAGTATCATACCAGATGTTGTAACTACCTTCAATATTCAAGTATTGATCATGACTAGTTGATAATTTATTACAAATATGAGATATAAAATAATCATTAAAATTCATAAATAAAAAATTACTTAAACTTTGATAAAACTTGAAGGATTTATGAAAAATTAGTTTTAACATAATTAAATTTAAATAATTAAATATAATAAAAATAGTACTTTAATTAAAAAATATAAAAATTATTTTTTCAACCAATAATCAAACAAAACATTTAATAACTTGCGATGTTATGATTTAAAGAAAACTATTTTTAAAATATAATATTTCGATTGATAAATAAAAGTTTTAAAATAATTTTTTTAGTTTAATTTATAAATAAATTTAACCATACAGTAAGATTTCTAAAGAAAACACGATGAAAGAATTTTATTGTAACATTTTGAAAATGGGCCTTATTAGTCAGTACAACTTTTAATAGTTTTAATTAAATGTTTCTTGTTTGAAAAATTTAAGGTTTAATTATAATTATAATTTTTATATTTAAATATATGTGCAATACTGATGTTTTAATTTTTTTAAATATATTTTATTTTTTACAAGTTATTTAATTTTAATTTTTTTGATTTAAAATCTTATTTTAACAAATTGTAAAAGTATAATAAAAATTTCACGCAATATTGATTAGTATAAAGTAATAAAAATATATAAGTAAAATATAATTATATATTTTAAATACATATAAATTATAATTTATTATATCTTTATTAATTATTAAATTAAGATCACAAAAAACTCAATTTAATTAATTAAAAAATTATAAAAATTAAATATAATAATGTTGAAAAAATTTAAAAAATATGAAAATTAATAAAAATCAACAAATGTCGATGATAATTATTAAAAAAATTATAAATAAATAAATTTTAATGCTTAATTTTTTATAATTTTTTAAAAAATTATCAATAACAACTTTTAGTAATTTAAAATTTTGTAAAAAATCATTAATAACAATTTATAGTAGTTTAAAATTTTATCTACACTAATTACTAATAATAAATTTTAATTTCTCTTATTTCTACAATCTCATTTTTTATATATTATTCTTGAAGATCATAAAAAACCGTTGAAATACGAATAATAAGTTAAATATTAAAAATATAAAAAGCACAAGTACCAATACCTGAAACCAAGTCCGCAAAGGCTTTTCGCTCCGGAGTTTATCTTGCAGTTATTACTTTTTAAATATATTAGAGTTTTTACTTATTTTTTTAAAAGTTAGACTAGGTTTCATGAATGCTATTTTCAAAAAATATTTGAAAAATGCACGTGATAATTATCCTGCACCAATGCAGCAAATGGTACACCAACAATTTCTCAATTTCTCACCAAACTTTAAAACGGACCGTACCTACTCTCACCACAAACAAACCATCCAATGCTTCTCATCTGACGTGGCAGCATCTGAGCCACATCATTCTATCAATTTTTTTGTAAATACTTTAACAATATTAATATATATTTATTAAAATTATCTTTCTATAAAAGGCAAATGTAATGAAATGAAATGAATGGATTACTCATATTTATTGAATGGCATTGGCTCACATAAATTAAGATTTTTTCTGAAATAAACCCTGCAAGCACAGAAGAACCAACCACGTTCCCCCCTTGCTTCTGGTCAAAGTTTAACTCAAAAGCACTGACACAGGGCAGTGAGGTTCGTAATCAAAAGGAACACAATTTTCGCTTTAATTTCAACTTTGCCACTCCGCTCCTCACGCTCCATGAATGAAAGCCAACCTTCTACAGTTCAAGTTGAAGATCTGGACCAACCAAAAATATTCTTACGCCATCATCATCATTATTATCATTATTATCATTGTACTACAAAGTCCTTTTTTCACTCCTAATCTGGTTCCTTGAGAGTGTTCAATCATTGAAAATAACAAATTCCTCCTCAAAACTTTTTTTTCCCCTTAATTTCCACAGAGCGTTGAAAATCCGTGCTTCATTTAAACCTTCTCATCCTACTTGTTCTTGGCACGGTTCCCTATTCCTTTTTCTTTTTTGAGTTTTTTTTCTACATCATAGCTTCATCATAACGCGTGTTCTACTTGCTCCGTTATGTTTTTGTTTCTCGTGCTTGTAGCTGCTGTGTATTTTACAAGACTCGAGGTTGGTTGGGGGGTTCAGTCTATAGTGAGTGTCTAGAAGCTTCTTCCGTTACATGTTCGTTGATCGTTGTTTCTCATGAGCCAGTTAGACTTTTCTGTAAACAGGAGCAAAAAAAAATAACAACAAATAAATAAATAATAAAACAGATCTCTCTGTAGTAAGAGTACGGAGGTAGCAGTGATCGCTTGCATTACTTTTCAATCAGTGTCTTATATATATATATATATATATATATTTGGTACAAGTACAAGGTTTTGTAGGTGGGCGTGGTTCATGTTGTTATAGGAAAAATGCTGGTTTTAAACGGAGAAGAGCAAATTTTGTTGCCTTCAGAGTCAACATCATTGGATTTGAACGCAGATTCCGTTGATGGGTTCCCACCGGTTTCCTCCACCGTTTACACTGATGTGGGTGTCGTGCCAGAGCACGAAAAGAACGAGCTTGAGCTCTTGATATCCAATTTAGAAAGTATGAGTAATGAGTAAATAAAGCCACATCATTTTTTTTTCCTTTTTTGGTTTATGGGTTTTAAATCTGTGAAATAGATGTTGCTAATTATTTTTGTTCGGTTGAATCGATTGTGTAGGAGAAATTGAGCAGCTGAGGATCAAGCAGAGGATATTATATAAGAAGCGCAGAGAAGCGTTGAGTAAGATATTGGACATCAAAGGTAAATATTGAGTAATATGTACTCATTGGAGGTTTCAGGTTTATGTTATTTGTTAAAACACTGTTTTCTTTTCAAGTGTTGAAGAGAATTGAAACTTGCTATGCAGGGAGCATTCGTGTGTTTTGTAGGATTCGACCGAATCTGATAGCGGAGAAGAGAGGAATTTCTGAACCGGTATCGGCTGGATCAGAGAGAATTCGGGTTAAGTTGGGAGGAACAAGGAAAGATTTTGAGTTTGATAATGTTTTTCCTAAAGATGCAAGCCAAGGCTAGTATTAAAACGTTGGTCTGTTTCCCAATTTTGATAGAAAAATTGTTGTTCCAAATTTAGCTAAAGGTAGGGTGTATGCCTTTGTTTAAACCAATGCAGAAAGTGTTTTTGTTGAGGTTGAGCCAATTCTAAGATCTGCAATGGACGGGCACAATGTATGTGTTTTTGCTTACGGTCAAACAGGCACAGGCAAGACATTCACCATGGTTAGTCCATTCAAAATTGCGTTGCTATTTGTGTTCATGTGTTAAACACACAATACTGAGGATGTGGCAGTATGGCTAATGTATGGTGGCATGTAATAATTGTTTTTAGGATGGTACAAACGAACAGCCTGGAATTATTCCCCGTGCTCTTGAAGAGCTCTTTCGTTTAGCTTCCTCTTTGGATAATTCATCTCCTTTTACTTTTACAATGAGCATGTTGGAAGTTTATATGGGCAATCTCAGGGATCTGCTAGCTCCAAGACAGTCTGGTAGACCATATGAACCTACGACAAAGTGGTAACATTTTTTTGTTCACTATTTCAAAGACTTTAGTAATATACTAATATGTCTCAAACTCTGGCTAACTCACCCGTTTTGTAGCAATCTCAACATCCAAACAGATCCAAAGGGATTGATTGAAATTGAGGGTCTCTCAGAAGTGCCAATTCCTGATTATGCTAAAGCCAAATGGTGGTATAACAAGGGAAGACGATTCAGATCCACCTCTTGGACTAATGTGAATGAGGCATCAAGCAGGTCACACTGGTGGGTTATAGGTCTAATTAGATACTCCAAACTGTTTTCATGGGTTTCTCAGCTTGATAGTTACGTTATCTGTTTAGCTTCATATCTCTAGCTTGACGAGGATAAACATATTTCGACGTGGGGATGCCGTGGAGGAAGCCAAAAGTGAAATAAGTAAATTGTGGATGATTGATCTTGGAGGCAGTGAACGGTTGCTTAAAACTGGAGCCAAAGGACTAACACTTGATGAGGGCCGAGCCATTAATCTTTCTCTTTCAGCTTTAGCAGATGTCATTGCAGCTTTGAAGAGGAAGAGGTGTCACGTGCCTTACAGGCAAGTATTCTGCTGGTGTTGTTTTCTCATGCTCAATTATGTCCTCCTGGCCACCAGATGCGATCTGTGCCTGAAAAGGCAATTTAACAACAGACATGAGCCTTTTTTACTGCTGCTAGTTTTTTATATCACAATTATTTCTTTCTCGACAATCAAAGTATCTATAATTAATGAAATTTTGCTGCTTTGTTTGCAGAAATAGCAAGCTGACTCAAATACTGAAAGATTCTCTTGGTATGATACTATTTCTTCTCTAAATTTTGCATACACTACCAATTGTTGTGCACATAAATGGTGAGAAATCTAGAATTTGAGATATTTTACATGTGTTAGCATTTAATTTATTTAGACTATGGGGTAAGAACAGTGAGACATGATCAGACTTTTTTGTGAAGCTGTCGACCTCTATATGAACTGTGCATGTTAGTTTATGACTTTTGTGCAGACTTTTTTTCCTTCTAGAATATAAAATATCTAATCTTTATTATCAAATACTTAAGGTTATGGCTCAAAGGTCTTGATGCTCGTGCATATAAGCCCTTCTGAAGAAGATGTTTGTGAGACAATTTGTTCTTTGAACTTTGCAAAGAGGGCGAGAGCAATAGAGTCCAATAAAGAAGTGCCAGTGGTATACTTACTGAAAATTGTCTAAAGCAAGTTCCTCGGTGGAAACTGTTTGAAGATTGCTAACTGCATGCATGCTAATGTAGGAATTGAAGAAGCAAAAGGAGAAGAGGATTATGGAGCTGGAGGAAGACATTAACGAAGCTGAAAAACAGCGCCATACTTTAAGGGAACAAATACAGAAGGTTGAGTTGAAGTTAAGTGAGAGTAAAAGCCTCTTGTCAACTACATATACTCTTCTGGAAAGTGATGACATGGCAGCCTCTATTAGTCCCAAAGACGATGTCAAGGAGGTCATTGAAACCCCAAAAGGATCTAAGAAATCTATTAAAAGGAATTTTTCCAATTCAGTGCCTCGATTCATGAATTCAACTGTTGCAAGTCGCCAAAGGCAAAGTTCTTCTGAACAAGAAAATGGGACGAAATTGAAAAGTTTTAGATCAATGATGTCTAGAAGTTCAATCCATTTTTCACATTCCCAATCAATAAGTTATTCAGATATCCGTATCAAAGCAATCCTGCGAAGTTCAAATGGAAAATCTCGGCATGCTGAAACAAATGCTGTTCCAAGTACTGTTCTTACAGAAAGGTCTAAATGCAACGATTTGGAACCACAAGTCACAACTACTCGAAGTCAAATGGTTGCATCATCAGATCCAAACTTGAGAGTTACATTGTGTCGTCATCGAAGAAGGATGTCTGATCTGATCTAAGGGTTAAAAGAGATATATCTTGTTTGCAGATTTTTTAATGTTGCGAAAAGTGGTTGCATGTTTAACTATCAGTTTATGTAACAAATTGTAGCGGGTAGTATATTAATAGGTGTGTTTTGTTGGTTTATTGGGAGTCTGATCTGTTAATTGTTAACATGATCACGTTCTTATTGGGTCTTACAGTCAATTGTTTGTGTGATTGTGTAACTTTTTGGGGAGACTAACTTTCACCCAAGTTTGTCATCATAACCTTTATATGAATACAACAGTTATTCAGCCACCTAGCTGTAATATTGATCAATAATAAGGTGAAGGGGGTTGAGGAAAAGTGCGTGTGGGAAGAGATTTTAAGAGTGTAGTGTGGTGAGATGGAGGAAAATTTTTTGGTTTTTGGTTCTTTCTTTCTTTTCAAATGTCTCTATTTCATGAACTAACGTTTCTCTTATTCAAGGTGGAATGTTGAACCCTCACACACCAAATTTGTTAATGGACAACAATACTTCTATCCCTCAAAGCCTTCTCTCAGGGATCCTACTTCTATTACGGGTGTCTTCTGGCTTATTTGAAACTTGTAAGAAGAAAATTTAGGTGCAATTCTAGAAGTACATTGTTAATGAAAGTTGGAGTTTTATTTTGGTAATACATGTTTGATTGAGTGAATAAAGGGGGAAACCCCTTGATCCCTTTTTCTTTCTTTCAACCGATCCCTCCCCTCATTCCCCTGTTTACAATCGCAGCGCTACCTGCCCTAATTATTTTCTTCCTCGCACAGCTGCCCCCGTTTTCATCTTGGTTACTTCTTCTACGTGAGTATCCAATTTCTTGCTTTAATTAATTCTGTTCGAATTTCAGAAAAACTATTGTAATTTATTTATTTTTCTCTTTTGTATACATAGCTTTTGGTGAATTTTGGGTTGCGAGGAAATATTTTAAGGAGAAAAAAAGTGTTGTCCAATTTTTATTTGTGTTCTTAGAATATACATGCAATTTAAATATATAAAAATATTAGTTTTTGACAAGTTCTATTTTTAAAAAATATGTATTTTAGAATTGAGTATAAACTTAAAGATTTTATTATTAAAATTAATTTTAATTTTTAATAAAATATTACTAATATTTAGATTTGTAAGCTCGTACATTTTCATAACTTCGTAGTAATATTAAGAAGCAAGTTAAATAAATTTTTATTATTTGTGAGTGAATAATGATTATATGACATATTTTTATAATTATTTTTTTTATTATTATGTATTATTATCTAAAATTATTTGTTAGGAAAAATAATTTTTAAATTTATTTTTTAATCATACAAAAGTTTATTACGATATACATTTTGTCTAATTATATAAATTTATTTAAAAAATGTGAAAGAAGTAATTATTTTAATTTTATTTGATGGTATTTAATTATAAGACACATGTTGAGACTTTTATTATTAAAAATAAATTTGATTTGAGTATGAAAATAACGTTTTGTATGATACCTAAATTCTAAATTTAACATACATCTAGAAATACATACAAAATCATGCAATACATAATGTACATTTAAGAGAGTTAACATGCATGAAATACAGTTAATCTAAATCTCTTAATCAATCATCACATGATGAAGTGTAAGTAACTTGTTTTGTTTTTTCTCTTCACTTCTAAATACTTGTACCATTCTTGGACATGAAATAAAACAACTTCACATGCATAAATATCACACACTTTATAATCATAAAAGAAAATAAAAGGTAAAAAATGATTATCATCCACCCAAAATGCTACTGCTACATATCACTAAGTGTAATTTCCACAACATAGTTCTATCAAGTTTTAACCAAACAAAAGAGACAAGTGTAAGTACCAATTTAACTATTACATCAAGAAGGAATACCAACATACGTCCAAAAGAAAAGCAAAATACATTATTAGTTTACAAAATAACATTTAGAGCAATTCTAGATCAAAAACAAATAAAAACAAAGGGTGTCAATTAAGAAAAGTGTACTCCTCTAAAGAGTCAGAGTCAGAAGAGGTAGGTGAGGACGCAATAAGCTCGATAAGTAGGCTGGACATGTCTTCATCAAAGTCTTATAACCATTTAGGGGTGGGAGGTGGTATACGAGAGGGTGAAAAAGGTGGAGGTCGTGAAGGGTTACGACAAGAAGGTTTAGCCTCATTAATGGGTAGTGGTGGTAGTCTAGGTGACTGGACAGGAGGGCGAAAGCAAACGGAAATTGCGATATGAGGAGGAAAGGTACTGAAGTAGTATAGAGAGGTAAGAGAAAGATAATCTCAACAGGTATATCAGTAGTATATCAGGACTCCCAGCCCCATTCAAAAGCAAAACCAAGAGTCATCCTTGCTAGCCCTTAGTAGATGCTCTGCTGGGTGTTTTCATTATAAATCCAAAGGTTGTCCTCAGTCGAGAGTACCTAAACTTTGATCATGTTATGTCTCATCTGCGTCCAACAAACAATACACAACAACAAACAAATATACCAAACATACAGTCCATGTAAAGGAAAATAAAGAACTATAATAATTAAATTACTAAAACAAAATACATATAAAATAATAAAAAAATGGAGATGAAAGTTCTCTTTCAATGTAAAATTAATTCAATTAAGTTAGTTTGAATAAAATTCACTAATAACATAATGCTTATAACAAATTTACCATTTTATAACAAATTTTCATTTTCCAACAAACAAAAAATTTAAATCAACTAACAAACCAAAAAAAAGAAAAGTACAAAAAAATATATATTGCTCAAAAGAAGGTGGATAAAGGGGGGAGATACAAGCACAAATTGATATTTTGCCACTGAATTTAGAATGAAGTGAAATTTCGTTAAGGGGCTGATCTCTTAGAAAAAGTTCAAGAAGAATGATATAACAAATGATTACTTGTGAGAGAAGAGAAGAGTGGCAGAGTCTCATAAAGGGTCAACTTTTTTTTTTCAAATAGCTTTCAAAACAAATTTTCTTTTTCAAAACTATTTGCAATCTGCTACAAATGAAGAATGAGGATTTATAAATTAGGATTTCAAAATTGCCAAATTTTATTTTCAAAAAAAAGTTAATAGTGACTTTTCGATGGTCAGGACAACTTTTATATATTTTTAAGTTTTAAAAGTTATCAGTAGCAAGAGTTTTTTAAAATTCACCAATAACAATCTTTGTATTAAAATTTGCTTTTTGTTTGACAAAATAAAAGCTTGCTAGTAATAATTTCACTATACTATTTTATATTTTTTGAAGCGGTCACTTATAAAGCGAAATAATATAACTGTTTTTTGATGGTGACTTTAGAGAACAATTATGTATCATTTGTTCTCACAAATTAAAATTTTAAAAACTATGATAACTTTTAACTTATGAACCCACGTAAGGATGTGTCATCTCTCAACTTCTCTTCTTTTTTACTTTCTTGATCTCTTCTATGCTAACAAAGTTAATTTCGTCCACAATTGTAGATATATTTTCACACATCTCTCTCCGATCTTTCTTTCTTTTTTATTTACGAGTCTTTCATTTATTTAAATATAGATTATTTGGTAAACATCATAAAACTCAAGTTTTAACAAGACTAAAAATTAGTTTTAGTTTAGGATAAAAAAACTCACAAATAAAGAAATTTTAAATTTTAAATATACAAACTCAAGTTTAAATATAATAATAAATTAATTTTGATTTGTAATAAAAAAACTTACAAGAAAAGAAATTTTAAATTTACTATTTATACTCTTGAGAATAGTTTTAAAAATCACTTTTTAAGTAACATTTGGAGAGTAGTCTCTAAATACATCAACTTTGTATAACAATATTTGTTAGAATATTTTAAACTCCTCTATGTAGCAATGCGAAACTATTTTATAATCTTTTATATTATAATGTTTTTATATATATAAAAAAATATTTTTATGCTTAAAAAATATTCGTGCCAACTTTTATATTTAACTAACTTTTAAAGTTTAAAAAACACTGATGATGATTTTTAAGGAAAAATTGTAGTCCAGTAATATTTCTTAAAAATCCATATTTTGGTAATTTTACAAATTAAAATCCATATTAAAAAAAGGACCCCTTTGCTGTCGTATTTTACTTTTTAAAAAATGTGTGGTATAACCTTGCTGTTGTGTATTGAGTCCATATCTCATGTTTTGTCCGTGCTTCTTCGTAGGTTGTGGATATCATGTAAGTAGCATTATTCTAATATATGCCATCAAGCGCAGAATTTTCTACAGATGGAGTTAGTAAACAACACGTAATTAAGGGGAGATTGTGCTCACGTTTGTTCTGCAACTAACATACCATTAGTAGACAACACGTAAGGTTGGCTGTTTATATATAAATTGCAAATTGGGTAATATAATCCAAAACTATTAACTGAAATGTGATAGGAATTATAGAAACCGTTTCATTGCTATTTGTTTTCCGCTAAAAGGTTAAATATTAGATCCCCAAACGTATCTTATTTTTCAATGTGGGATGAAGAATTGATTGGATAGCTGAACTGTAAACACCCAAAAGCGAAGTAGCTAAACAACAAATCTTCGCTGAACTTATCTTGTGTTCTCAATGTCCGCATAGCCAAAAAATACCCCTGTTGGTTTGAACAAGTTTTCCTGCTATGTTTTCTTCAAGGAAACAATTGACCTAGTTCTCAATGTTTCATATATTTATGTATTTTCAGGATCTGCGGTTCTTCATACATAGAATTGTAATAGAATTGTGCTATGATTGAGAAGGTCCTATTCTTGACTTCAGTTAATCCTGAAAAAAATTGAATCTTTTGTTCCGTTTTTAATCAACCTCAAAACAGATTCTTCAGAATAATCTTAGTGTTTATGGTATAGCTATAACCATGATCCTTCCCTTCATCAGCGATGGTAGTGCACGTTATTTACATAACTCGTGCTAGTCTTGCTTTAGAGATTTACTACCTAGGTTGGATGGTTGAAGCAGGACAAGAATTTACTCATGTTCACGCTCTAATTCATTCCCTAAGCCATCTCAGACCTCACTAGTAACGCTGTCAGACTTCATGTATTCAACTAAACGCTTTCTCTTTATCTTCATTATTAATTCCTTTCAAACTTCTGGTTTGGGAAATTTAAAAGGAAATTACCGGAAAATTAGATATTCAGAGCATGTTTCTTTCCCTTCTTAAAAGTAGTTTTCTATTTTTAAAAATAAAATATAATGCGAGTTGATTGGCAACAGATAGAGTTCCTATAATCCATAGAGACTGCAAAACTCGAGCTAAAGAGGCAATGACTCCAAGTTAGTCTTACACTGCCCAGTGATACATGTGGACGGGTCAATGGATGAACATGAATGATCCATTCATCTAAGGTCTCTTCAGGTAAACAGAACTTATGTCATAGTTTGTGGTAACAGGGACTTGTTTGCACGGCCCCAATTCGATATCAAATCACGGCATAGAATGGGGGTGGTTCTTTATTTATTGTATGATTCCACGAGTCATGTTGGGAGATTGTAATTGGAGACGATGGAATGTACAAAATAAGTAACGGGATATTAAATTATAGTGAATTTGTTCCGAAATGATTGATTGCAAAAAATTTAAGTGACATTTGAAATTTGTATCGATACGAAAATTATTGCTTTAAATGTATTTTTAACTAATATTTTATTAGTAAAATTAGTATTTTTTCTCTTAACTTAATGATAAAATTTACTTTCATCATCTATTTTTTAATTATTAATCTTTTCTATTAACTCTGTTACATGACTTAATAAAAATATTCTAAGTGATACTGAAATGACATTAACGTTATTTATTTAATCTAATCTAAATTTTTTAATTTTAAAAAAATAGTAAAATGTCCCTTCCACAACCTCTCTTTCTCCTGCTTGTAGCTTTCCCTCTCCCTACAACCCCACTCCTCTCCCCTTCCTCCTCTTCTGCAGTTGTATCACTCTTTGCTCCTTAACTCACAAGTTCTATCTCCCTCTCTTGTAGCCCCTTTTTCTTCTTTCTGCAACTTTCCCTCCCCTTTTTTTTGTAGCTCCCATCTCTTTCCCTTTTTCCAACCCATCAAAAACTTGAAGTACACCTATGTCAATTAAAAACATAGGTATCCTTGAGAAATTCCAAAACAATAAAATTTATATTATTTAGTAAGCGAGAGTATAAAAAGTATTCTTACAAATTGAAATTGAAATTTAGAAGCTTAGAAATTTAGTTGACTACAATAATCTCATCTTTATTTCTTTTAATCATAACCACACATAATGGATAATTGAATTAATCCTTTACCAAATACTTTCTAAAATTTTTTGCAACAAAAAAAATTTCAACTAAGAGAAAGAGAACAAGAGGAGAGAAGGAAGGTTTGGAAAAGTTGAAGGAGAATAAGGAGGAGAGGAAATGCAAGATTGTGGGAGGAAAAGGAACGCTACAAAAAGGAAAAAAAGAGGCTACAAAGAAAGAAATAGAGCTAGTGAGTTAAGAGTGATGAAACTGTAAAAAGAAGAAGGAAAAGAGAGGAGAGCTGCGGGAAGGAGAAGAGAGAAGGGAAGGGAACTATGAGAAAAGAGAGACTCTGAAAGGTGGAGACAAAGTTGATTGGTTAAGAGAAGGAGTGAAAAAACTATAAGAAGGGGAACGGGAAGGAAAAGACAAGGTTGAAAGCTTAGAAAGAAAAAGATCAGGTGCTATTGAAAGAAGAAGAGAAAAGGAAAAAAAAAGTTACATTTGACGTCACCTCACCATTTTTTAAAATTAAAAAATTTATGTTAAATTAAATAAACAACGTTAATGTCATTTCAACACCACCTAAAATATTTTTGTTAAAACATGTAACAGAATTAACGAAAAGACTAACGTAAAACAAAAAATAATTTTGGGAATAAAAGTAAATTTTACCTTAAAGTTAAATAATCAAAAGATTAATTTTGCCTACTTTATTAAATCAATATGGCTGCAATTTTATTGGCACAATGTGAAACAGATACTTTAATCTTAGTAATCAGCATAAGTATAGCGGCGGACTTAGCCCATAACAGCCAACATTGAGGGTATAATGTAAAAACAGATACTACTTTGATCTTAGTTGCGGAAGAGACCGGCGTCCCCTTATTGTTATTATGTCCAGGGATGGAATCCACTGGGAAATGAGGAAAAAAACTCATCTATAGCTATTTTAGGTCCTGCCAACAAAAACTAATGTTGAAGAATGCCTTATACGTAAAACTTCGACACTGCATAAACCCTAAGCATAGAAACTGCTTGACCAAATTCTAATAATTCCATGTAAAACGTTTTTTTAGCACAAGTATAGACAACTTCAAGACTAGTGAAGTGCAGCAATTTACACATTACCGAGTTTGGGTTCCTCGGACAAGCTATCACGACAATACAAAATGGCTCTGCAGTTGTTTGGCCGCAGTAGCAATTGATATTTTCCTCAACACAAACATTTGCCGTTACAAGTTTTGATATATTTTCCCCTTTTATTGTGCTCGTTACCTTTATACGCACATAACTATGCAGAAAACCTAATTATTCACACTTGAGAACAGTGAGACTTTTCATGGGGTGGAATTTACAGAAATCTCCTGCGGCACAGGTGGAGCTACCTGGTCTTGATGAGATGGGATAACCAGACGCTGCAGTGGTTTTAGAGCCACTGTGAGTTGTGCAAACGATGGGCGCAGATTTGGATCCCTGACATGGGGAGGTAGGGTTGGGGAGCAGAAAATGTCATCAATTGAAAAACAATTTATATTCCCAAATTTCCTGGAACCATTTGAGTAATGATATATAGAAGAAAAAATGAATAAATCAAACTAAATTTGAACATGCTTACTGTAGCCAACACTCCCGGATTATTCTTGCAACTATAGGATCAACCTCCGTAGGTATATCAAGTCGACGGCTTTGGAAACCTACGGCACCAACAACTTGCATAGGATTCATTCCACTCCATGGCAACCTTAGAGTGGCAAGCTCCCATAAGATGACTCCAAAACTATAAACATCGCATCTGTATATTTGAAATGGTGATTAGTAGAGGGATGCATTCGATAGCGACAGCTATTGTTGCAAGAAAACAAGAAACAGACATAAACACTATGTTTAATTACTAAAGTTCAGAAATTTCAAGCATTGTGCTTCTCAGCCTACCTTAGCCTTGTTCGCCAAGCATTTTTTTATCAAAACAAATAAAAATGCAATTAATCTGTTTATAATTGGGGAAAAAGAAATTCATCAATGGAACACACAAACAAAATAGGGATTCACTATTACTTAATCAAACAATTAAAAGTACTTGAGTTAAGAAAAATGCTATTCATCTAGCAAAAATCTGTCAAAATGGCCTAGCAGAATCTATTTTACTTGTGAGATATGAAACTACTACAAATATTGTTTTGTGAGGACCAGGACAACTGCTGTGAATAGCTATAAACCTTCCACATTTTTAAAGACCCGGTGAAGATTTAAAGCACTGATTATGGACAAACATTGATTACACAAATAAGATATAAAACAACGATGAAAACCAAGAAAAAAAATCCTTTTATCTTAAATAAATAACAACTCACTTCTCATTTGAGGGTTCATTGCGGAGAACTTCAGGAGCCATCCATTCCGGCTAACATATTGACAACAAATGTCAGTATTGAAAATAGAGAAGACAGATAACACACAAGCAGCTTAGGCCTAAACCAATGAGTTACAGAATAACAGATTTTCTCAAATTCTCACCGTTCCAGCAGTTGACTTGGATGACAAAAACGTGTTGTGCTTCAAGCGTGACAATCCAAAATCACATACCTGTAGAAAGAGCAGCTTACTTCTGACAAGTTAGATAAGAACAAGCTTGAACAAACCTAAGTAAACCAACTCACCATTGGCTGGTTTCATTTTCAACCTTAAGTTGAGTTGGTTCAAAATCAAAATTTCACTTTATTTTGGTTAAAGCATGTAAAATTTAAAAACTATTGTAACCCAAATCAATCTGTCTTTTACTCTCATACAAAAGTAAATCACTTCAACAAGATATCATCATCATAACGATAATAATATATTATATATATATATTTTTTTTCCTGGGTGCTCTTTAATTTTAGTTGGTGATAATAAAGAATAAACAAATATTATAACCAGTATGATAAATATATACTGTTATAGGCAAGCAAATCATCCTAAATTCGATTTATGGGAATTTGCCACAGGTTTTATTGGAATTTAATTTGAAAGCGTAAAATTGCTAATTTTCTTTTCTTTTAAAAAAGGTCCTGTTAAAAAGAGGTCCAAATTGATAAACCACCCAAGCCCAATCAAAATTATCATTTTTCAGCTTGGACAGTTTGGATCTTTCTATTATTAGGGGTTAATCTGGTTAGTATAGAAAATTTGTCAGCTGAGTTCAAGTTAAGCTTCAACACTAATCAATTTCCCCTACATGTTGCATCCAATGCAGATGTTTTGTGTACAAGCACTCAAGCAGCCAAAAATGACACTTCCTACATGAAATCAACTAGGCTTATATAGGCATATAGGCGCATGGCAGTTTATCAGGTCAGCCACATCCAAGCTTAACTTCACACAGAAACACAAATGGACCATTTAGCTGAATGTCAACTTTTGCATCTGCATCTCTCCAAGTTCATAGAAAGTAACAGTCAGCAGCAAAAACAAAATGCATACAGTAGCCTGTATTTATGCCACCGTTTTTACAATATCCTAAGACCAGCTAACAAAATATAATGGAACGGGAATAAGTAATTTTAAGCAAAATCAAGATCAGAAATGAAACCCAAAAAATGTGCAGGTTGTTCAAAAAATCAGATAACCATATTCAAGGCCATGTTTTCCAAAATCAACCTAGGCCTAGATTGGAGAAGCTTCTGAATAAGTACTTATATAAGACATGAATAAGGAAGTAACATAAATCAAACCCCTCTCATAAGTCAAATTTAACTCACGCTTTTCTAATTTTTTTAAAAGTCTTCTCATTTATCAGAACTGAGCCCTAGTCAATTTCACTGAACTAACAAAGATATACATTTAATGTGGCAGGAAACAAATTCAGGAGCCTGCATAAATGAGAGAAATGGCAAAAGAGGTAAATGGACAACACTAATCATATACCTTAACATTCCAGTTCTTATCAACCAAAAGATTTGGAGACTTCAGATCTCGGTGAACAATGGTAGGTGTACTGGTGTGTAAGCAATTCATGCCCCTAGCCTGTAAATTGGAGTGTTTTAAACCTGTAAGTTCATTGATGTAAATGATGATTGAAAAGGAAGAAGGGTAATTATTTCATATCATACCACATCCAGAGCCATTTTTATTCTTCTTTTCTCATCAATCTGACAATTGGGGCGATGAAGAATACGGTACAAGCTTCCTCTGTAAAATGTTACATCAGTAACACTGGTGAGGCACTTAAACATGAAATGAGTAAAATGGAACAGGGCTAAAGTTGCCAACACCAACATGACTGACAGGAAGTTACCATTATTTTGTTAAAAAATATGATGAAAGGGGAAAAGATATATATACCTTGGTAGATACTCTGAAATGATTGAGAGATTGGGAGGACGGGTAACAGCACCCATAAAAAGAACAACATTTGGATGACGTAGTCTCCGCATTATCCGTACCTTGCAGCAAAAAGATGGAAAACAGATAATTTTTGGCCTTTTAGAATGTAATGATGGTGGACCTTTATCAATGATATCACTGCCTGTAAAGTTAATTTATAATTTTTCCTCATTGGTATTTCTGCTCAAATCTTCAGAGTTGTTTCAAAATGAAAGGAACAAAAATATTTTGTTTAAATTCACAAGTTTTCACCATTTCTTACCATTTCATTTAAGCAAATAAGAAGAATAATGGTTGTAGAACAAAAAAAATCATTGCTTACTTCTCTTTTGAATTCAGACAGTGCAGCACCGGAAAAATCCTGATCCAAAAATTTCTTCACAGCAACCTCCTGATATTTCAACAGCACAGCATCAATCAGAAAATCAGAGACTAGAAATTCTTATATTTGGGTAAAAATTTTGAAATTAAGTGAGAGAAATGATTTTGAGAACTTACTAGCCTAGTAAGAGATTCTTTTTCACCTCTTTCCCCCCCCTCCCTCACCCCCTTCAAGATTTTCTGGGAATTTAGCAAGGGTATGATAAATAAATTCCCCAACTTTCTTCTTTTATATATAAGGATTTCAAAATGGATAGAGAACAAAAAGATGGGGCTTCAAGACTTTCAACAGGCTAAAGCTTCCAAAGTGTTGGTCTTGTGCTTCTCAGTTTTTATAAAAGTTAAATAGTGTCATTAACAAATCATGCACTTTTAGTTAGTAATGCCATCATTTTCATTAAACTATTGTTGTTGATAACACTATAAATGAAGACAAATTATATTGAAAAACAATCTCAAAATAACAATACTTCTATATTCATTTTTTTTAATACACTAATTATATTAACCATCCATCTCACTTCACTAGAATGAAAAGTCACAAGACATGTGCACAACAAGGAAGTGTTCGTAACATCTAACCATTCATGGAAATGGTTCTCCAAATGATAAGAACAGGACTTATATTTGTATCATCATCAATTACATTTGAATCATGCACCTAATAGTACAGGATTATCATTACTCAAAATATGACAAAAAAAACGTCTTCCAATTCAATCTACCACAATAATCTTCCCTGCATGTGTGTAAAGGAATTAAAGAACTCACCGTGCCATTCCAGTCGGCATGGTATACTTCGCCATATGAACCTATTTGAAAGAAATAATACACATGTATAAAAAATGAATATTCAAGAAACATATCCACAGACATGCAATACTTAAAGTTAAACACGCCTAGAGACTCACTAACAACTACTAAACATACTTTTGAATCCTTGTGAATGGAATATCATATGTAAGAGTAGGAAATTTTTGGTTAAGTGAGCTCACCACAACCTTGTGACCATGCTTGCACAAACAGAAATAAAAATAAAAAGTAACTTTTAATCAATTAAAAAACAGGAAATTTTTATTTATATGAGCTCACCACAACCTTTGTACCATGCTTGCACAAACAGAAATAAAAATTAAAAGTAATTTTATCAATTAATTAATTTTAGATCTAGGTCATTAATGATTGATTTGCATTTGTGGTGAGCTCCACTAAATGAAATAGTAAATCAGAACATGACCTTTACAGTAAATATTAATGACCCCAACAAGAAAATAAGGACAAATCATGTACATTACCTAGACCAATTCTTTCGCCAATAACCAAATCCTCCCATGGAATCTCACATTCACCAACGTCTACATCATCCAATATTTGATCAACCCTATTTGTATCAATCGATGAGCTAGGACTCTCTGGATCCTTTAATTTCAAATTGCTTCCCATGAATCTGTCATGTGTGCACTTCCTCCGGTCATGATATCTGATGTCAATGTTTTCAGGTTCTTTAACCGCCTCTACCATGATATTTTGAGAATTGTCCAAATCCCCCCTGTTAAAATCAGCATTGAGATCCTCAATCTGGTTCAGCTCAGGTACACCAACTGGTGAAACTGAACCAGTGACTTGTGCCGAAGTTTGAGCATTTACATCATTATTTATAATTGAATCATATGATGATTTGGAACTACTACGGTCAATGTTTTCAGATGTAGAAGAACCATTGGAAACAAATAAAGGAGGGTTATATTCATTAGGGTTATGATTAGATTTCCTGGGGACTTCGTTGAAAGCATGACGATTCTTCCACATCAATGGTACTGGTGGTCGACCAGAAACAGTATTATTAATAGTATTTTTAAGCTCAGGAGATTTATTTTCCGGGGTTTTGTTATGCACAGAGGCCTTCCCAGTTCCTTTTATTTGGAAAGGGTTAAGATCTGCAAAAAGGCTTCGAGAGTCGTTGGGACTGCTCTGAGTATATGGTACTACATTGACATTCAATCTTGTCCCATCACCAACTGCATTCATTCCAAGAGTCCCTTTGCACAGAGAAGAACCAGACAACGCTGGCAAATTTTCTAGTTGGTTAGGAGACCCTCTATTAGGCATTTTAGAAGGACCAACACCACTGTCTCTGCTCAAACCCAAGTTTGAAGGCATGTACTCTGACTTCTCCAAATATGGTTTTCCATTCCATGGTGACGAATGATCTTTTATCTCAGAATTTTGACTACTGCCTTCACCATCAGATGGTGGAAAAGGTCTTGAGTAAGAAAATCCAGTATCTTTGGCAGAAGGTAAATTTGGCAAAATCTTGGGATTGTAAGACTTAAGGGCACTATCCTTGGTGCTTAAAATATCAGCTGGGATAAGTGTCCCTGGTGCAGCCATGAGATCAACCAAAAACTCCCTGAAAGCAAAATAGATGTCAGTACCACAGAACCTGAACAGCCACCCAAACTTTTGGGCAAATGTATGGAGATCTCCAATGATTGCATCAACCATTGCTGAAACATAGGCATGAATATGACATGCACATGCAAATTAGTAAATTATCAACAATACATGAAAAATACAAAGATTGTAAAGGCCTTAACCTTTCATCCTCCAACTTTATAATGTTGACAGCATCATCCTCAACACCAGTGTAATGACTACCTTTTACCAGTCTACAAGGCATCTTAATGTTGTCAGCTAATACCTGTCACCAGAAAAACAAAAGTTATATTACATAGCCAGTATATTGATAAGAAAAGTTTTTGCAAATCTTGATAAAATTCATATGATCTTCTAAAGCGTACACAATAAATACAAAATTTAACTGGAAGATTTATTCTCAAATCTCAATATGTAAAACTAGCTTGCAAATATATAGCAACCATAATCCAAAGTTAAGAACCTTTAGAAATATTGATGAGCAGAATCAGCCAAAACTTTGATGACTTAGGCTAGATTAGCAGGGAATTTTACTCTGTGACTAATTCTAAAAAGAAAACTACTTGATTTACTTCTACTAATTTGTTGATAATTTCTTTTCAAGAATATTTTCAAGTGATTAAATATTTAATAGTTATTGCAAATATCATATTCACTAGTTTATTTTAGTGGAATTTTGTCAGCCACTTTTCTGGGCAGATTATGACCGGAGTAAGAATTATATTATGGCATAAAAGACTTTAATCACTAATAAAAGCCAAAATACTAACCTTGAAAAGCAAAGCACGATGCCTTGAGAGCCCAATATTTAAAGACCCGATAGGCAATACAATTGTGTGAAGAGATGTCCTTAACTCTGTACTTGTTTCTGTCCATCTTGTTAATATCATATTAGCATCCTTTACAGGACCACCCATATGGCTTGTAACAAGTTCAGCAAGCATTTGTACCAAAATACCAACCTCAGTGACAGGACAATCTAATGCAATACAATGTGCAATTTGTATCAGCTCTTCCAGAGCAGGATCAATTGCTCGATTAACAATGACCACTTCAAAGCTAGAACCTCCAGGGTTTGCCTCTAGATCTGTTAGAGATGGCATTTTTCCTTGCATTGCTGAATCATTATAGAGACCATATACATCATAAAAACCATCTATTACTTTCTCCTCATAGTCAAGCACATTATATTCCTGGTCAGCAAATAGAAATGCAAGATAATCAAAACAGGTGCAGTTCAAGAAATGGACACTAAAGGAAACATGAGAAACTCATCAATGGAGATGAAACAAGTGGTGAGCATTCTATGTTCACTAAAAAAATTTATAATTTGATTATTTCTATCTTGGCTTAACTGATTAAAAAAGTAAAAGAGTACAGGTTCACGTACTGCAAATGACCATTTGCAAGACTCATGCAGAATAAACCAATATCATGATGAAGTTTGAAATAATAAGTTTACATAAAGAAACAATATGTATTTATACAATATCCTTTAAGAAGATCTACCAGAGAAAACTAATGCAATCTGTAACAACAATATCCACACAGAAAGTCAATCACAGACACAATAGCAATAAAACAATCTACAGCTGATTATGCCAGAAAAGTCATCTTATCTTACAGTAAAAATGTAAAGTGTCTTAACAAAAGTTTGCCAGTGCACCAATTTGAAAATTCGATCATGGATGTGCCTTCTCGTTTTCTTTTCCAACCAGCACAAAAATAAGCACATGATGATTGTAAAAATAGTGATCCACATTTTTAATTTCTAGGGATGTATGGCACTTCCAAAAAAGCACCTAAATCTTCAACATCGTTTGAACTCAGTTTGCCCAATCAATCAATTTTACGATAAACAGAGAGACATTCACATAAATCTTAAGATGCAAGTGCAACTAGGCGTAATAGCTTCTGCTAAATGGCAATAAATCCAGATGCAGCTTTTATCAGAGTTCCGTTTGCTTTCTGCAGAAACCAAATTTTACCTCGCTGATCAAAAACAGATTTCGAACTTCACCCGAATTGCTAGCCCTAGACACACATAAACCCTCGAATCTAAGTTCCATTACACAATTGAATTCACTACAAGAACAAACTAGACAGAAATGAAAAGGAAAGAAAAATCCATAATAAAATCACGCAGCATAAACGCATACAATTCACAACTTCATCCCGAACAATTACGACGAAAGACCAACATTACCAGAAGTGGATTTCAACAATTGACCAAGAACTTACCCAGTACTGCCTCGATAGCGCCTCCGCCACATCGTCCTTGCCCCTCGTCGAATCAATTCGATGCCCTCCCAAACTCAACAGCGTCGCCGCATGGATCTGATCCTTCTCAGGATCATCGCGAAACTCCGAATTGGAAGCGCTGATAGCTAGGGCTAGCTGGACCTGAAACTCCTCTTCCGACGAGAAAAAGTCTTGCCGACTAACCGCCGGAGTGGCGCCGCCGCCGGGAGTCACAACAGCCGTAGAAGGAGATGACGACGAAGGACTAGCCGGAGAGGCGCCGGAACTCTGCACGTGATCGGCGGCGCAAGACGGCGACGGTACAGGCGGCGGAATTTCATTGGATCGATGAGGATCGTGGTTGCTTCCTATGTGAAGCTTCTTGAAGATGTTCTTCATCCTCTCCTTTTTCTCTGTTTGCTTTTCCTTCTTCACTCTCTCACTCATCAAAGCAACTCAGAACGAAATTGAAGTGACTTCCCAATTCCAAATTGTAATCGGAATCACTTTCTGTGATTTTCAGTTCAGTGATTCGTTTCTCGACGATTTCTTTTTTCTTGAATTTTCTGCTGTCTTTCTGTGTGGTGTGGGTTTGATGGTCAAGGGACTCGAGAGGAAAGTGTTAGGAGGGAAAAACTTAGGCGAGTAGAACAAGTGTTGAAATGGCCGTTAAACAAAATGGGCTTCCAATGTTGCTAAATAACCAAAATGACATGCACACTTGGATACGCTACGATCACCGCGCTAAATGAACGCGCCAATTCGATGTTGACATGGGAACCTACGTGTCTCCTCAATAGTCTACGTGGACGTCATAAACTTCTGAACTCCACCTCTTCCCGTGGATATATTATACGCTTTTTTTTTTTTTTTTTTTATTTCATCATCCATTTCCTTCATGGATATTCTCATTAACTTTCCCTTTATTCATTTGTTAGTTAATGATTGCCGGTTCCATTTTACTTTATTTTTTTCTTTCGTTAATAATTATGTTTTATTATTGATAAGCTTCTCTCATATTTCACAAACTTTTGCTACTACTCTAGTTTGTTATTTTTCTTCCTTTTATTAAAAAGCATCAATGGCTTTTTTATTATTATTTTATGAATCATGAGATACAAAAGTGTCATGAAAATGACTTTTCTGTTTCAATAACTCAAACTCGTGTCCTTTTTTTTTTCATAAAGTTCAGTTGTAAATAATACTTATATATATATATATATAATATTATTTTTAAGATTATCTATTCTAATCTTAATGTTATCATGTATCATTTGTTTATATTTCTTAGATATTTTAAACATTAAGTGAAGCAGAAAATATGATTATTTCTCACGAAAATCGTAAGATCTATTTAATGAATATAATTAGAGAATAAGAGGTAAAATTTTATTATATTTTTATGTTTATTTAAATAATAAAATATAAGTTTATTCCATATATTTATTATATCTTATTTTTCAGTATAAATTTTATTTTATGAAAAGAATATAAATTAAAAACATATAATATAATGCTTTTAATTTGTCATTTTAGTAAAAATCAAATGTAAAATTAAAAAAAATTTATTTTATTCTTATTATATTAAATAAAATTATAAATTAATCTATTAAATAGTAACAGTTGTGTATATTAGTCTCTTATTTATTAAAATTGTTCGGTTAATTTTTCACATAATAAATTATTAGACAATTAAGTCCAATTTTCTACCGTTAACGAACGTTTGAAAAATATTAACTTTTATCATCGTATTATGGAATATGTTAAAACATTATTTTACAACTTTTTCGCTTTTTCTCTTACCTCATCATTTTTCTCTCTTTATCATTTCATTTCATTTCATCAGAGTTATGCCATTATAACACAGTTTCTCACAATGATTTGCAGTTCTGTCTCACAAATACTATGGCGTCAAAAGAAAATAGAGGTGGCAGAGAAAAGATTCATTGTGAGAAATGATTGAGATTTTCAATAACCTCATGGATATGCAAAAACATCGTCACTTCAATTTAACAAAATCCATCGTACAAGTGTGAAATAATATCAATTTAACAATGCAACAAACACAAGGACACTTGTCCAATATATATATGGCACAAGTCCATCCAAAATGACTAGGGAAAGTGTGTGCTTTCCACACTCTAGACAGGAACGTCAAAATGGGACTCGAATTCTCTACTGTAATTGGATGTCAGGTTAGTTTTGTATTTTTGTTTAAGTTAAAAAATTTTGCTTAAGCAAAAATGTAAAATTTTGCTTGACTTAACCGTTCAATTCACACAAAAATGGAAGAGAATTCCGGTCCGTAAAAATGTATGTTACAGTACGGCTTAACAAGTCAAGAACCCCAGCAAAATAAATAAGCAAGTAAGCAACAATACAAGCATAGTACCCAACATTAAATTGATTTGTGTCCTCCGCATTCAACATTATTTCCTGCATTTAATACGTTATAAATTTGCACATTAAAATAGAATTCTTTGGCACCTCTTTATGCCATGTAAATAAACAACTTTTAATTTCAAAAAAAGTAAAATGTATGAACATAATTTTAAAGGAGGATTCCGCCGGACACGTGGCAGGAACTTGTATAAAAAAAATAAGATTATCAAGTGACCTAATAAAAAAAGGGTAGAACAAAGAAATATGAGAAAATAAAAAATATTAAACAATGTTTTGCAATAAATAATAAGTTATACATGGAATTTTTTTTCTTAATAAAACACAAACCGAAAATAATTAAAAATATATTTAAAGAAAAGTATTTTTATATAGAGGAGGGATGATGCGTTGATGCAAGTTAAACTCAACGTTAATTAATAAATTTTTATTTAAAAATTATTTAAAACTTACTATTTGATTGAAAGATTGGTATCATATTTATAATATTTCAAATTATTTTTTAATATATTATTGATAAATATTAAAAACAATGTAACATAGTTTTTAAATGTATCAAAAAGAATTCTTTAATTGTATTTTTATCGTTCCATTTTTTAACAAAATTTGAAATGAACAATTCAGCTGATATGTGATAAAAATTAATTAATAGATTGACATAAATATATTTTAAGAATATGTTTAGTAACACAGACAAAATCGTAACTTATTAAAGGGTTTAAACTATCTTTTAATAAATTAGTAAAAATATTTGGTAAACAAAAAATAAATAGAGAAGATAATTTTTTGAAATTAACTTATTACAATTTATTTTAAGTAATTTTTTAACTTATTAGAAGTTAATTATTAATATTTTATTATTTTTACACTTAACACTTTAAACTATTTACATTAACATAAAATAATCTTAACTCTTTCTTTTTAACCTTTTAACATTTTTAGCTAGTTGTATAACTAGTTTTATCAAACAAATTGAATTCAATCAGCTGCAGTTATTATGTTATAAGTTTTTAGTTGTGTTGTAAGCTAAAGCTTTTAATTAACTTATTGGTAATAATTATAAGTTATATAAGCTTTAAACTAGTTTTATCAAATAAAACTAAATAGTGAGTTTGAAAAATATTAATTTTTAAAGTATTTTTTAAGCAACTAAAAATTAAAACAATTGATTAAAAATAGTATTTATTATATAAAAAGTATAAAATGAAATAAAAATTTTAATGTAATTTTACTATTTTAATTGCTTAAGTTTAACTTTAACGATTGATGTGAATTATTTTTTGAAATTAAATTATAATTGAATGACCGAGACCTGTGAGATTTAGTTTTTTGTGAACAAGGAAAATAACAAAAATACTAAGGCCTCAAGAATGACGAGATTTAGTTGATTTAGCCAATTAATTTTGTTATTGAACCAAATGTATAACGATGTATAATCGCAAAAAAAAACGCACTCAGTTATGGCCAACTCAATCAGTCTGATTGAAGTTCTAAACACTACTTTATATATATATATTATAGCCCCTTTTATTTTTATTTTTATTTTTTTAAAAAACTATTAAGCTAAGGACAAAGCTTGAATAAAAAATCTAAGATATTTATAATATTTTTTCAACAAAAATGCAACATTTATCACACCCAACCGAACTATTAGATTAAAAAAGAAAAATAAATTAGTTAAAATTTAAAACGGACGTTAAAAGGAAAAACAGCCCCAGAAATATGTAATAAATTTCATCTAAGGCTTTACCCATAAATTAATCGGCATATCCTCAAATATAATTAAAGTTCTTAGTCGCATTTAAGAAAAAAAAATCTTGTAACATCTATAATGTGTTCCCAAAGAAAAGCTTAAAAAGTTGACAACCCCGTTCCTATACATGCTGACTATTTGTGTTTGATACTACTGGACCATATGATCCGTTTGACGAAGAGAGTCTGATAAGCCCCGTACTTAAAAAATTAGACACAAGAGGCATATTGCAAGCTTATGAAAAGCATTCTCAATCCCTTGGAGCTAACATGATAGCTATCTTCTACTACTCAGACGCACTACCCTGTCTTGTTTACACTAATTGACCCCATTGTTCGATAACATACGTGATACTTTAGACAACGTAGCCGGTGGTAGCTCTATTAGCTCTTCTTCATCATCATCACTAGAGATCCAGCCATAGCAAGGTCTACGCCTTTTGTAACAAAGCCTCCCCACAAGGTGCGAGGACTTTGGTTCACGAACTTCACCAGAAGCCAAATTTCCTGCTGGCTGACAATCTGCAAGACAGTAGTATACAAGACAATTAGTCTCAAATATGTTTAATCATGCTATCAAAACTTTGCGTCAAAATGATAACGAAAATTGGAAATTTCTAACCAGCTTCATTTTCTGCAGCTATAGCGTTGATGGGAGTTCTGCTGGTCGCTGAAAAAGTGTCTACTGCAGCCTTGATGAAAAGCTCACCAGGTTCACCAGTTACTGATGAAATGTCTACAGGCTTGATGGGAAGTTCACTACTATTTACACTTGTTGCTGATACAGTGTCCACACTTTTGATGGGAAGTTGATTACCAGTTCCACTGGCTGCCGATGCAGTGTCTACGGCCTGATTAGTTAATGGTGAATCATCGGAGGTTTGCATGTTGGAGCAAGGTAGAAGGATACTGTTTGAGCATCCTGCAGGTGATGCCTCATTGGGACCATCACCTGGCTTAGCCTCTTCTATCAACCCATCCTTCAAACAAAACGATACAAGACAGCAGAACTAGACATTATTAGCACTAGTTTTATAATAATATATAAAAGAAATCACAGGAATTTCAATATAGAATCCAATTAACAAGTATCTTAAGGTCGCCAATTAAGCTATATAGTATATAGAAATAGAAAGTATTCAATAAAAATCACAGAATTTAATACACTGAAAACTTGAAAAACATTACTTTTCATTTAATATATACAATAACAATGGTCTTTGCCATCATGTTGCGTATGCACGACAAAAAATTTTCCTGTTGGGAGAAGGTGAATCACATAATCATATGCAATGTTGGACAACTATCATAAAGTAATTGCATAATCTCAAGTCTCAGCAACTTCAAAAAGTAACATGCTTTTGGAGACACAGCAGCTCATTGCTGCCCATGACATCATCTAGGAATTGAAACAATATTGAATATGGGGAAGACATGATTTGTAACCGGAAATGAAAGCCTGAAAGAATGGAGGGCATATAAACCAGCTCATTGCTGGCCATGACATCATCATAAAATATTGAGTTTGGGAAAACATGATTTGCAACCTGCTTCTCTTCTTTCCTTTAAGTAAAACTTCAGTCTAAAAGTCCCACCTTATCGGTTTGGTTGGATAGAAAGAAAGCCGAAAAGGACTTTCAAACAGGAAAATATCAAGAAACATCTTATGCAAAGAATTAATGAGGCTTACAAAAAGCCAAAAAGAAATGTACTTTCCTATGAAAACCCTTCGGTATTACATACCATTTTACTGTGAATTGAATGAGCCAATGGCTGAAACTGGCGGTTAGATACGCTCGTTCATTTCAAGAAAGAGAATCTTAGGCTAAAGATGGTAACGAAATTGTTGGCATGCTGAATAAAATAAACATTTTAATTTCACAAGAGGTAGAGTTTGGTTAAATTTTCCTGAAGTAAAATTTTGTGTGAGAATGTTGCGTTGCCGTTTGATAAAGGCTGGCTCTCTAAAAATTGGAAGGTAATGCAATAGAAAGCAAACAGCAAAGGAAAGAACAATTGGATCGTCACTTATTTGGATACATTATAATAATAATGAGAGCATCAGAAAGTAAATGATGTGAAACAGAGCACACAATTAACTAAGGTTCCTGAGTATATTCTTAAAGAGAATGGGTGTTCTCTACAAAAATTGTTCACCTTATGTTTGATAAAATACCAAACTTATTTTAAGAGAATGAATTCTGCAATTGTTTTTCAACTACAGAGAATCCCCACCATCATTTTTTACCCTAAACAATAAATTACAATACAAGTCCCCAAAATCTGAACACTTAGATCATCACTGCACGAACTGCAGGTGAAAAAATTGCATTTCCTTTCTCTGTTACCATTCTATCAGTTCAGTACTCAGAAAGTGCGGGGCATATTTTTATACGGTAATAATAGATAACCTTTCATTGATCGAAATAAGATATAATACTAAAATATTAGAAAAATATTAATATAATCTTCAGAACTGATTTCAACCATTAAGATACAAGAGTATAATAAGTATTTTTTTTTAATTAAATCATATTATTAAGGTTATCCTTAACAAACCCAAAATATTATGGAATAACAATTAAAGGAAATGAAGGTGGACGTAAAAATATAAAGAGGATAGATGTTAGGTTTTGGGTGTGTGAGTTGCTTGGAGGATAAGCAACAGAGAAAGCAGCACAGAAGAGATTGGAAAGAGACAAAGAGGAGCAACATTTTAATTAAGATGAAAATAGTAAATAATGAAATTAAAGAGTGAATAGGGTAACCACTGACCTGGGCTTCAGAATTGGATTGTTTTTCAAGAAGAGTGTCAATGAGGAGAGTGTAAGCAGAGTCTTCGATGAAGACCCAGCCTTCTTTGCCACCATAAACCTGAATAGTGAATAGTGAATAGAAATACACAAACATTACCATAACTGTTATCATAAAACAAAATGAAAAGATTTAGTATTGAGAGAGTGACTTTGAGGAGTTGATCGACGGTTCTTCGAACGAGTTTGTTTGGGAATCCAAAGGGAGTCATGGCGTCGAGGGCTGCGTCCATTCGTGTTTCCCCTCTCTGCTAATCACAAACACACAACAATTCATGAATAAAGCGATTCAATGGGGGAAAGAGGGAATGTGAAACGACCTTCTTCGGACGTCGTCTTGGAGCCATGGCAACGAAGGATGAAGTTGGTAAAGTTCCCTTCACACGTGAAGGTGAAGAATACCATGCGACTCTTTCATGCTAAGGCCTTGTTAATTGTTTACGCCAGAAGCAGCAAAATTAAAACGATACGAAATAAGGATAATTATGTAAAATTGCTTGTTTAGTTCAACGGCGAATGAAGAAAGAGAGGAGTTAGAATCCTTTTTCACTTTCTATTTAGTTAAATTTTTTCTTTACCCTAATTTTCTGTTTATAGATCCATCTGGAGTGTAAATTTTCGCTATAATCGGCGGGGTTTTCGTATATTGTTTTTGTTTTGTTAAATCAATTTTTTTTAATACAAAATTTAAAAGATTTTATACGGTTAGTTCAAAATTTAATAAAGTTTACAATTACAGATAAAAGACATAAATATTTTATTAAATTAAATATAATTAAATTAAGAAATAAGTTTTTTAAAATTATAAAAAATATTAGATTTAAAATAAGATTAATTTCATAAACTATTTTCACTTTTATTAAGGTAGTGTGTCGATATTTAAATTTTAAAATTAAAATTACAATAATTTTAAAATTTAATTTATCTAAAAATAAAAGATATTTTAATTTGACACAATGTATCAAAATATAGAGTTTAAATTTAAATCAAAACAAGACGTGACATTTTAAAGAAATAAAATTTAATTCCAGACAAATTGAAAAAATATTTGATTTAGTGCTTAATATTGTATGGATTGCACATTTTACTCTTTGAAATTTTTTTAAAATAAATGTGGTTCATAAATTCATCATATAATATTTATTTTAATTTTTTTAATAAAAATGACAAAAAAACAATTTTATAAAATCATGAAATAACAATGAAATTTAATATTTTGTTGTTACAATTTTATTGACTAACTTGAAAATTTATTTATAGTTTAAAGTACTTTTTAAGTAAAAAAAAACTACTTACATAACGAGTAAGGATAAAAGCCAGTAGATTTAAGTAAAATGTACCTGTCATTATATTTGCGTTTCCGATAATTATATTTTGTATTCATGTGTATAATAGTTTTAATTTTATATTTAATAAATATCTATATATTTATTATTTTAATTTATTAATGAATTATTTTTAGTTTTTATAAACTAATAAAATATAAATATTATTGTAAAATAATAATGTTTATTATTTCTAAAATTTTAATTATATATATATATATATATATATATATGTATGTATATGTATATATCCTAAACCCCATTACTGTAAATAAATATAGATATTATGTTATTCATGTATACCGTATCTAAATCTATCAAGTAGATAGTTAATCTATCTTTTATTACTATTGAATATATAAGGTTTATCATTTCTTAAAAAGAAAATGGAAATGAAAGATTTTTATAACCTCTTTTCTTTAATCGTCATGTATTTTTTAAAGAGAATAATACTAACAAAACTAAAAATATCTACCATATAATAGGAATAAATTTTTAATAATTTTTTTACACACAAAAACTCAAAACAATATCAATCTTAATTTTCCAAACAAACTATTTACTATTTTCCTTTTTCTGTCGTCACTTTCTTTTACTTCCTTTTTTTAAATATTATGTTAATATTTTATTAATGTTAATATCCTAATTAATTAATTAATTATAACATATATTTTAAAATATTAATATCAATTATGATATTATTCATTAAATTTATATATGATCAATTAATAAATATATTATTATTTTCAAACTTTAGAAACACTATAAGAAAATTGTAATTTTGTAACAGTTATTTGGTCATTTTCCGACAGTTTTGATGTAACACCCTAAATGCTAATTTTTCAAATACCTTATAATTTGTACATTTTTGGAGGACATAAAATAAATTTTAATTAAATAAAAAAATAAAATTTAGAAGAAATTAAAATTTTATGTGAATAAATTCGTTCACAAAATTAACAAGAGAATAAACGTACAAAGTAAACTGACTTACTAATTACATTATATTGAAGTAGTTAAAGAAATATATAGATACCAAATTCTATTTATATATGAATATTGTAATAATTTACAAATTGTACTAAGTCCTAAGAGCAGTCCTTATCTACACTCATGCACTAAAGACCTGCTCCTAGTTATCAATATTGTGCTAGCCCTCTATCTTAACCAGATCCTCAATAGTAAATTCTTCGTCTTCTCTGAGGTAGGCATCACCAAAATCTGTCACAACCTCTATACTTGAAAATCTTTCAAATATATATCGGGTGGGTCTCCGAAAAAGGTCATGATCGTGAAAAGTAAAAACATTATTTACAACCCTTGAAGGCCTAACTGTTCTTTGATAGACATAAAAGCTAAGGATGTGATGGATGCGACTATTTATAAGAACTCAAAAGAAACATTATAATTTACATTTATCTCTACAGTCCATATATTATCATCCTCATAATCTATATTAAATTTTAAATACACAAAACACTGATACTCCTAAAAGTCATAGTTTATTCTACCACTAACGAGATAGTCTACTAATCTAAGTTGTCTTTGTGGTGCCGTCATCCTTGTTCCCTGAAATATTTAGTAAAGATGAACATCTATCTTATCATTTAAACATAGCACCATTTTAAAGGCCAACATCACAACACAATTATAATCATAGAACATAAGAAAACATAATAATATTAATCTCAAAAGTAATATATCACAACTATCAGCTAATTACATAGTGTATTAGTTATTCTCGCACAATCATATATACATATATTTCATCACAAGTTATTACATTCTTCTCTTTCAAATATGCACTCCCAGTGCACTGTAATCACAAATATACGATGACTCCAGTAATTCTTGAGGTCTTACTCAACTAGGTAAATAGTCGTCGATTAGCCCATATACATATATACAATGTATAGAATAATGGACTCCTTAGCAAAGGTATAGTCAATAGTCTAGTCAGGAAACGAGTGTGAGGTCATGTGACGCATTCGCTTTCAGAAAGAGTGTGTACACATACGTGAATGTTACTCATCACCCTATGTTTTTCTTAGATTTTCTATTGTCTCTAGACTTTATACCTTCAGTGTATCTCTGTAACTATTAAAACTAGATTCATTCAGCATTTTATACTCATTCCATATTCTTTTTCATGTCAATCTCATTATTCAAGTAAAAGATCGTGCTTAGTAAAGTACTTTCGAACTAAGTTCAAAACACGCATACTACCAAATATAGTATTAATACCTAAAATCAGCCAAACATGCTTCAATAACCTTTCATTATAATCTAATATCATTCAATCATGTATTTACATACAACAAAACACATAAAAGTACTCTCATGAGTACAAAATATTCACTATGCTTAAAATGACAAAATATAGTTCTTCTTACCTCGAAACAAAGTTTTGAAGGAAGATTTATAAGGGGTTCCAGTGAAAGGTCCTAGCTTTTCCTTGGTATCACAAAAGAGAGCATTTTGAGAATTGAGAAACATAGAAACAAACAAAAATGAGAGAATTCAGCTCCAGGAACTTACTTGGAGTTCCAAGGCCGTATTTAGAGGAAGGTTGAAGTTTTGGGAAGATTTTCTGAGAAAAAAGGCTTAAAGATTAAAGAGAATGGAGGAGAGGTTAAAACTTGAATTGTAATCCAAGTTTTTTAGGTTGAAAACTCTTAAATATCATTCAATCATGTATTTACATACAAGAAAACACACAAAAGTACTCTCATTGGTACAAAATATTCACTATGCTTAAAATGACAAAATAGAGTTCTCCTTACCTTGAAATAAAGTTTTGAAGAAAGATTTATAAGGGGTTCCAGTGAAAGGTCCTAGCTTTTCCTTGGTATCACAAAATAGAACATTTTGAGAACTGAGAAACATAGAAACAAACAAAAATGAGAGAATTCAGCTCCAAGAACTTACTTGGAGTTCCAAGGCCGTATTTAGAGGAAGGTTGAAGTTTAGGGAAGATTTTCTGAGAAAAAAGGGTTAGAGATCAAAGAGACTAGAGAAGAGGTCGAAACTTGAATTGTAATCCAAGTTTTTTAGGTTGAAAACTCTCGCTATAATGAAAAATTAAACAAAAATTTTCCTTTACTGTCTGTTATTCTAGTTACAATAAGAGCTCCTCGCTACAGGAAGAGAGTGTCAGAGAGCCTGATTTTCGACACTTTTTCTTGTTCTAGTAAGAGATATCTCGCTATAGACTAATATCAAAGTAATATTAGAATAAAGAACTAGAAGGTTATAAAAAAAGTTCTTCAGTATTTACAAGGCACTAAGGATCACATGCTTACATACAGAAGATGTTATCACTTTGAAGTGATTGACTACTGATGAATCCATATTTTATTGAATTTTTACTTGTCTTTTTAGTGCTCTTTAATAGGAAAAGTAGACTTAGAGAGTGTAAATAGCATAAAAACATCATTTTAGTCAAATATCATAGGTTTCTTAATTTTTGGTTAATTTACATTGATTTACGTAGATATAATTTACAATTTTGATCATTTGAATAATTGTGCAAGAATTTTTAGGCTTATTTTATGGATTTCTAGCCTTTGAGAAATTTTGAGTTGAAAGTAACCACTTTGGATTCCATAGTGGACACTACAGCAAGTTAGATCCAGAGGACAGACCAAAGTGATTACTCTGTTTCCATAATAGACACTACAGAGACCCTAATTTGAAAAGGTGTTGTGCATAGCCACTTTGAGTTCATAGTAGATACTACAGAGAAGACAAAAAATCACCCAGACTTACGCGTAACTACTATGAACCCAAAGTGGATACTCCAGAGAAAGCCAATTTCACTCAGTCTTGCACGTAACCACTATGAGTTCAAAGTGAACACTCCAAAGAGGGTTAATAGCAAGGGACACCTGTGCGTAGCCACTATGAAACCATAGTAGCTACTATGAAACCATTGTCATTACTATGGGCGACGACTTCTGCACTATAAATAGAATTTTAGAAATTAGGTCAATAGCTTTTTGATACCTTAAGGTTTCTTACCAATTTGGGAATGCTTGCAGAGCTTAGGTCATCCTTGGGTGACAGCCAAGGACT